AAGCAATATTGATGGAAAATTTACACGCCTTATTTAAGCAATATTGTTTTGCACAAAAAAACAACATGTGTGTCATGAAGCCAACACAATGAAACATATAACTGAAAACAAACATCTCCTACACAGGAGAGCTATATTGCTCCTGCACAGGAGACTGGAAAGATTTCTTGGCATGTTGTGCCAATGCAAGAAATGTCATGCAAAACTAGCAGCTTGTCTTTTTTTGTCAAAGCAAGGGATTCGCGAAAATCAGTCAACAGGCCAAGTGGGCACAAGATTGTCAGCAACAAATTTCAACAAAGTATTTCTAGAAATTGCCAAAGCTGTGTTGTTTCCACCTCTGTGCTGGGAAGCCTTGGCAATGGAGCCTCCATAATCTTCATCTCTGTACACCCAAGTCAGTGCTGGATTGACTAGGTCGAACTCACACAATTCCTGGGCCATGTGGAATTTGGGCTTGAATTTCCACAAGCCATCAATAGCATGTTTCTCCAATTCTACATACAGCAGCAGAATTTTCCTACAGTTGCTGGCCATATCTGCAGGTGGGTGTGTATCTCGACTCAAACATTGATACATGGATACCAAATGCTTTGTTGCAGCCAGCACCATGTTTTCAAAAGAGTCTGTTTTGTCCAATGTGCATTCAGCCAATTCCAGCAGCCATGGCACCAAGGATCTCAATTCCCCTGCACTAGCTCTCAGCATTGGGGAAGTCAATTTCCCTTTTGCATTTTTTTTGCGAATCATCAAAGGAGTCAAAGTTGTGAGTCTGTTTGAACAGTCTGGATTTTTGCTGTACCAGGCTTGCAAATGTCTGTGCAAAGCTTTGCATTGTTGCTTCATACCATTGCCAGGAAATTTGGGCAAAACATGGTAAAGTGAGTTGCCAGCAAAGTCAGCTCCCATTCCCAGGTCCATGCAATGCAGCCAATCTATCACAAAAGTTTCCAAGTTTACACCAGGGATGGAAAACAGAGGTGAAATAAATTTGGCTTCCTCAAAATGCCGCCACAAAGTTTTCCTCTGAGACCTCCAAGAAGCTTCCAATAAAGGATCCCTAATATCTGTGAGAGAAGCTTGGCATCTGTAGCAACAGTTCTTGTCATTCCAGCCAGCCAGACCAAAGAAGTTCTTGTATGCCTCCCAATCTCCTCTGGCTTCTATCAACATGCCATGGGCACCCAATGGCTTGCCACATTGTTTCTGTCTCCAGCCATGAAAAGGATCTTATCCAGGAAGAGGAGTGGAAGGAAAGAATCCAGCATGCAAACAAGTAAAGCTCCATGCAATGATGTTCAGCAAGTCCTGCATGGTCTCCTCCACCAGGAACTTCTTGTTCACCAGTGTGATTGGAATTCTCAATCTTTGAAAATCATTATCCACTTGACCTGGAAAATTCAAAGTCAAAACAATCATTGATTCTGACCTGTCCCACTTGACAGGCACACCATCAATCCAGAAACCTAATGGAAATGTCTTGCTGGGATCTCTGTTGTGGCCCTGGCAAAAAGACAGAAAGTGTTGCCGTGCTTTTGGTGTAAGCCCTGCAACTGTAAAGGGTTTGTCTCCAGCATCCTGGTTCCACCCAGCTACAGCTGAACAAATTTCATGAGGTAAGAGCATATGCAAGGTGTCCACAAAGGTCTGGTCTGTAGGTAAATGCTTCAAATGCACCTTTGCAGGAAACAGTGGAGGCCAAGGATTGCTTTTGCTCAACTTTCTCCGTAAATCTCTCAAGGCATTTTGTCCTTGTGAAATGCCTTCCAAGTTTTCCAAACCTTCTGCTTAGGCATCTGCAGCATCTGTGAATAGGGCACAAGCTCTCTTGCCACTAATGATGCCCTGCAAGAATAAATCAGAAATACTGTACAAGAAACAAAGTGGGACGCAGAGAGAGAAAAAGCATGTATTAACACTTACGCTCATGCTAGTGCGTCGCAAATCTGCTTGCAAAACCTCTGCGGGCAGCAGCAAAATTCTCCGATGGCTGACCCCACTTTTGGGTCCAAATCTGGACCCCAAAACGGGGCCCAAGCAAAGACCTAAAAGAAGGAATGAAAATGTGATCCAATTCTGGACCCCATTTTGGGGTCCATATTTAGACCCACAAATGGGGTCAGCCATCGGAGAATTTCGCTGCTGCCCGCACATGTTGTGCAAGCAGATTTGCGACCCTGCAGCTTGAACATGAATGTCAACTCATACCTTTTTCTCTTTGTGCGGCACAAGTCCGGTTGCTACTGTCAAGGTCCCTTTATCGCAGCCATGTTTTGACCACTTTTTTGGGCCCTGTTTCAGGGGCCATGATGAAGCAGGTTTGTTGGCATTCGAGTCGCTCCAAGGCCTACCGAGGCCTGCCCGAGGCACGAGGACAAAGCGAGGCTCACGGGGACTCGAATCTATATACTATGGGGGTACGCCCATGCGTCACCGCAAAACTGCCTGTTTTGGGGCCCTGGTTTTGGAACCTCATTTTGCTCAATCTTGCAGCCGCTTCTTGCTACTTACATGGGGGAAGGTTTTGGCGGCAGCAGGTTCCGAGTCCTTTATGGTGGAGAAATCTATTGCAGGTTCTGGTGCGCGAGCTGAACCACTTCAAGCAGCAGCGCAAAGCGTTGCGACAGGCATCTCAACTGTGTTGCTTTGGCGTGCAGATGCAATTCGTCACTGTTTTCTGATGTTGGCCCTCTTGAGACCATCGCGGAGAACAAGACAGAACAGAAATCGGCAGCAAAGCGCCGCCAGCGGTTGCTAAAAGCACCCCAACAGCCGCCAAGCTAGGATGTGCGTTTTCCCACAGCGCGGAGCGTATAGTTGATGAACTTGGACTACTATACCCTGAAAACCGTGGAAATTTGCGGAAAAACATGGCCAGCGTATAGCGTATAGTTGGTTCAATTCGATAAAAAGACCTTACTAAAAAAATCTTTCTTAGAATGTGAGCTGACCGGCCAAAATGGATCTCACGCCACAGCGCGGAGCGTTTAGTAGGGTACTAAACCGTCTGGCCCGCAACACCAAAATTGTGTTCTCGCCACAGCGCGGTGGGTTTAGTTGGGCTCTTTGTTTGCACGATTATTTTAGAGATTCAATTTTTTGCGTGACGGGCGCAGCACTTGAGAACCCCGTACGGCCATCTGAAAGGTTGAAGCGCGGCTGGATACTTTTATTTGACGCCTCCACATGGAGCAGTGGAAAGGTGGAAGCCGATGGTGCCAAGCACACACTGCCCTGTGGGTAGATCTCCTTCATTGGGACCCAGATGAAAGATTTCCCTCATTTGCAGAGGAAACCAACAAAGCTATATTTCGTTGCTTGCCCCGTCCATGGAACAAAGCTGAAAAAATTGCAGTAGTGAACTCTTTCTCATCAATGTGGTTGGAAATCAACAGCGCTCTTGCAGCAGAAGGACAGCGCCCATCACAGTGGCAAGCCCAACCTGAAGCCTCCACCAAGAAAGATAAACGCGATCTTTGACCCTCAGCTATGATTGCTGTAGCTCCCCTTTTTTCTTCACTGGAAGATTGGACTATCTACACACACACCGAAAGCCGGTGTGACGCTCGGAGATTTACAGATGCTTCAAAAGCGGCTTGTGGTGTTCAGATTTACAGTTCCTGTGGAGAATCCCGACATCGGCATTCCTGCAAAGGGGAATCGTGGATGTTTGCGCTTCCAGACTCCAGACTTGCAGTTGCAAATCCAAGATGAGGGTTTGACGTATGTTTAAATCCCCGCGCCCCATCTTCAATGTTGGACGGAGGCTTAAATGTTGCAGTTTCACCTTTTGAACTGATAGCCATCAAAAAGAAATTTTGCCTCAGGTCACATCCTCAGTTTGTGGTTGGCCCTTGTGTGGGCCATGCAAGGAAAGATGGCCCTACGGGGTTCTCAAGGGCTGCGCCTGCCGCGCTTCAATGTTTAAGATGGCCATACAACCTTTAAGATGGCCGTACTGTGTTCTCAAGCGCTGCACCTGCCGCACTTCAACCCTTACGATGGCCGCACGGAGTTCTCAAGCGCTGCACCTGCCGCGCTTCAACTTTGAAGATGGCCGTACAGGGTTCTCAAGCGCTGCGCCTGCCGCGCTTCAACCTTTAAGATGGCCGTACGGGTTCTCAAGTGCTGCGCCCGTCACGCAAACAAATGGAATTTGTAGAATAATCGTACAAACAAAGAGCCCAACTAAACCCACCGCGCTGTGGCGAGAACACAATTTTGGTGTTGCGGGCCAGACGGTTTAGTACCCTACTAAACGCTCCGCGCTGTGGCGTGAGATCCATTTTGGCCGGTCAGCTCACATTCTAAGAAAGATTTTTTTTAGTAAGGTTTTTTTATCGAATTGAACCAACTATACGCTATACGCTGGCCATGTTTTTCCGCAAATTTCCACGGTTTTCAGGGTATAGTAGTCCAAGTTCATCAACTATACGCTCCGCGCTGTGGGAAAACGCACATCCTAGCTTGGCGGCGGTGCCTGCCACATGTTGACGTCCTCAAAGGCGGTTTCTTCCACAGTAGCTCCTGCCATGCGTGCCTCGGGCAGGCCTCGGTAAGCCTTGGAGCGCCTCGAATGCCAACAAACCTGCTTCATCATGGCTCCCAAAACAGGATCCAAAAAACCAGTAGAAACATGGCGGCCAGAAAGGGACCTCGACTGTATTACTTTTCAATCTCTTGTTGGGAGATTGATCATCCTTGCTTTGCAAGAATTTATTTTTACCATGCATACTCATCTTGAGAAAGAAAAGCTATGGGAGAAAGAAAAAACATGTTTCTCCTGCACAGGAGCCCATGACTTCATGGTCTGGTTGTATACGTATATGGGGAAAGGATGACATGTAACTATTGTACATGGCTTTCACATAGAAGCAAATGCATGCTACAGGAAGCCACACCAGGAAGTTGCAGCAAAGCACTTTTTGAACCTGTGCTGTGAAGTCAACTGCCGCAAAAGAGTTCCAAAACTGCCAGCTAGGGGAGATGCACCTTAGGATCTACTGAATTGCCTTCAGCCTCTTGCTGATGGCTTTCAACCCATCAATGTGATGGGCACCAGCAGAAGCACCTGCCTTCAGCTCAGTAATCTTAGGTTCGATCTTTTTGACATCGGTGGAAGTGTCAAAGGATTTGCACTCAGCCAAAAGCTTCCTCACATTGTCCAAGAATTGTCCTGCTTCTGTCAAGACAGGCAGCATCTTGTTGAGCAAGTCCTTGGCTTCTGCTTTGTTCTCAGCCACAAGGTCCTTGTGAAGAGTCTCGGTGGCAGCCAAAACCTTCTCCATATTTGTTTTCATGGACTGGGTGATGGCCATCTCCTGCTTCATCTCCAGGAACTTTGGGTTCTCCACCTTGACAATGCCACTGCTGCTCCCAGAAGAGGCTTCCAAGGCTGACTTCAAATTGTTGGACTGGCAATCCAACTTCATTTCCATGGCTGCCTCTTTGATGTTCTGCTCCGAGGAGGTGTTGGTACTTTTTTGATACCAGTACTTGGTGAGGTGGGGTACCTTCTTGTTTTCCTGTTTCAGTTCCTGAGGTGGGTTTGAAGGATCCACCTGGAACTCCTGGTAGCAGTCTGCCAACAGACCTTCCAACACCTTCTGCTCGGTCTTCTGGTCAAGAGTGCCCTGCTGAAAGCCATTCATCCTGAGGATCTCAGATGCATAGAAGTAGCCCCTGGTGATCTTTGTCTCGGTGACTTCCAAGTCCTTCGCTTTCTCCACATAGTTGGTGACCCATGCCAAATTTTTGATGCCACCTTCTGCCTTGTACTTGGCAATGAGCCCTTTCTTCTTCTCTGGATTGCACTGGTTGTAGGCCTGAATGCAAAGGGCTATAGGTATATGAATGCATTCTCCTGTGTAGGAGTTGGGTGGTAGCATCTATTGTGATACAAGGGTCCCAAGTAGTTTTATTTGCATTTGGCTATGTATATTTGAATGTTTAACTATTTGCTTGGGTAAATATGATTTCCATTGCTTTTATCTGACTATGGATGCCTGCATGGGTGGATAGATTTTTTCTGTGCTGTGGGGATCTAACAGTTACATAAAACTTTTTTATGATCCACTACCATCCCCTTGATGGCCAATCAATAGCTGCAAAGGCATGACCATGTTTGTCTTGAATTATGGCAGTATGGTTATAAAGTGGAATTAAAATATATGCTGTCCCCAAAACTAAACCATATAATCTTTTAGATATGCCTTTCTGGTATGTGTTTCTTTAGAAAGGAGGAGTGCTTGGATGAAGTCTCAGGATCCTTGACTACCAGGTTTGTCTATGACTGGAGGATCAAGGACCATCCCAATGGGACCAAGCAATGGATGAGGAGGAGCCGGTTTGTGGCTCGTGAGTTTGCCACAGACAAGCGCTCTGACACCTACAGTCCAGCGAGTGGGTGCCATTCAGTGAACCTCATTCCAATTTGCTACCTGAAGATGCTTGCCGAAAGCTTGGACAGTGCAGAAAGATTTGATGAGGACAGCAGCAGTCCCTATCGTGTTGTTTTGGCGGCATTGGACATCAAGGATGCCTTTCTTCAGGTTCCCCAAGAAAACTTGGTGATGGTTTCTTTGTACAACCAGCAGTATGTCATCAGACGCAATCTTCCTGGGCAGAGACTTGGTGCGAAAGCTTGGTATTGGCACTTTCGCCGATACATCAGTGATGCTTTAAACTGTTGTTGGTGTTTGGAACAGCCTTGCCTTGCGAAGTGCGTGGATGATGGGACCAACAACTGCTTTCTGATCCATGTAGATGATTTGCTGTTTGCTGGAAGCTACAGTTTTTGGACCACCAAATTCTTGCCAGCGGTGACTTCAAAGTTCAATGTGAACTATACAGAATTGAAGGGAAATGGAAGCTTCATTTCTTTCCTGAAGCGAAAGCTGGTGAAGATCAAAGATGGTCTATTGCTTGTCCCAGGCACTACCGCGAACAAAGTGGTGTCTTACTTTGAAAAGTTTTTCGGAGTAGCAAAGCAGCACAAAATTCCATGTGATGGATCAATCCAGAACGATGACAAGTCTCAGAGGTTGAGTGATGGTGACGGCAAAGCTTACAGGAGTGTGATAGGGTTGCTTCTCTACGTTGCGCGTGATCGGGTTGATGTGATGTTTGCAGTGAAGGAGCTATCAGCACACATGTCAGCTCCTACAGTTTGTGCCCTGCAGAAGCTTCGAAAACTCATTGGCTACCTCAAGGCCAATGGTGACATGGGCATTAAACTGTGCATTCCAGAATTTGGAGCTGGAAAATGGAAAAGAGGTGGTGAGAAGTTTTGGAATGTTGAAACATTCACGGATGCAGACTGGTTGGCGCACAAAACCCACAGAAGGTCGACAAGCTGCGCTGTGCACTTCATCAACAACAACCTTGCCTATGCCTCAAGTCGAACTCAAAGAGTGGTTTCATTGAGTTCAGCTGAATCTGAGCTACACAGCATGGTGTCAGGATGCTCAGATGCCATCTTTCTACGTCGCTGCATGGAGTTTTTGACAGGTGATGAAATCGAGCAGTGGCAGTGGGTGGACAATTCAGCTGCGAGGCAATTGATCGAGCGCCAAGGTGTTGGACGTGTGAGACATCTCAGTGGCAAGATCTTATGGATGCAGTCATTGGTGTTGGAAAAGCAAATCAAGCTGGGACAGGTGCCAACGCAGTGGAATGTCAGTGATGTTGGCACAAAACCCTTAGCCAAACAACGTTTGTTGGTTCTTTTGCATGAAATCGGCTGCTGCAATCCAGATACCCATGAAATGGTTGGACAGGAGGAGTATGAAGCGTTTGAAGAGAGAACTGTGGGAAAACAAATGGTCAAGCGCATAGCCAAAACTATCATGCGTATGGCAGTGCTATGGGGTCTTGAGCCCAACCTTCAAGGAGCAGAGGCGACAGCTGTTGATGAGGAGGTTTGCCAACAGGTTCAGGCTTCTGGAAATAATGGAGGAAATACATGGCTTTGGTTTTCAGTTTTTCTTCTCTTCATGCTTTGGGTTGGACTTGCGGTGGCAGGATATGTTGCATGGAAGAAGTTTGCCAAGACGACAACAGACTTGGAATCATGTTGGAATCAAGTTGCAGATGAGGATTCCTACATAGCAAAGCAGGTGGCGAGGATTGACCAAGTGATTCAACGCCTTGATCAAATCAGAGAGCACAATGAACAGGATCATGCGATCATTTCAGATCGAATTACAGAATGCAGCAATGAGTTGAGCATGGTGCATGACTATGCATCGGGACTTCACTACAGCATTGTCGAACATGGAGGTTTCTTGCGAAATGGATGTGGTCTTACTCCAGAGCAATGGCGCCACCTAGCAACTCTTGAAAGAGCAAATCTGGTTAGCTCAAGAGCTTTGGGTGCAGTTGAATACATGCGGCTGGTGCGCCAAAGGTTCCAGCCACAAGGAGCAGCAGATGCAACAGACAGCCCAAATGCTGAAGCTGATGATCCAATGGATGAGTCAGAACCAGAGGTGCCATCAGGACCCATTAGCGATGAAACCTTGACAGACATGCTTGAATTCCTCAAAGGTGAACATGGACTTTGCTTGGAAAGAGGTGAGCACTGGGATGCCAATGAGGTACAACATGTGATCCTTCATTTCCTCTCCGAGATCCACCACAGTTCAGCAGAAAGCTTGGTAGCCTCGTGCCGAGTACGCATAGCTGGATTGTTTGGAGAGCTGAAGGACAAAGCAATTGAACAACATCGATGGGACAGTGCTGACAGATATCAAGCAATCGAGCGCAGGTACATGCAAAATCCACCTGCGTGACTCAAAGAGGGAAAATTTCAAAGAAATGACAATGGTGCCATTACAGATACAAGTGCTGGAACGGACGCAAAGCAATGAGTGGAATGCAGCATAGAGTCTAAGACTACAATGCTACAAGGAGGAGTGGAAAACATTTCTGTTTGCACCATTCCCTTTGTGACCACTTGCAGTGATGTCAAACCAATGGACTTCAGTTGGACCTCAGATGGACTGCGCAAGGATGACACTGCACAAATCGAGAAGAGACGTGTAGGTAGATTCAATAGCGTTCACATGAATGCCATGTGTATGTACCAGACCCTGTGGTTCAAAGAAAAGTGACGCTGCCTGCTTCGCAGTTTTTGTTTTTTTCGTGAAATTTTAATCGACCAAAATGGAGATGTGCACGTTTCAAAAGGTTAAACAAGTAGGTGAAATCCAGAAAAAAACCAAACAATTTGTGCAATTAATTGGGGGGATTATCAATCGATGTTTTGCCGGGGTTTTTGAACAAAATGTAGACAATAACATTGACATATTTTTCCATCATTTCACTTCACGCAGTGACAAAGACACAGTGAACGCCCACTGATTTGTGATTTGTTTGGTCCAGTTTTTATTTGGGATCTGATTCCATACTTTCAAAAACCCACCACCATCTTTATGGTTCGAAGCATGCCACCGAATACTGTGATGACACATCCCATACTTGACACATTTTTCCCGGCGCATAGAAACAAAAAGTAAAGCCAACTATCCTTTTGAACATTTGCCCTTGCAATTGTAGTTTTAGTTTAGCAAACAATGCAATTTTACCTGGTATGACTGTTTCACACATGAACATGTCAGGCAAACCTCTGTGTGACAATAGCGTTGTCAAACATATCAGTTGTACAGTTGGGTGTGTTGATGCGTTCATCCTCATTGCCGCCAGCGAGGCTGCGGGTCAATCTTTTCCCATGTTTTGCGTGTTGTGTTTTGTGTAGTTACTGCATGTTATTGCAACACTGTACCGATGCATGTTGTGGCATTGGGGCAGGCGTCGACAAGGATCACATGCACCACGTGCACAGCCACTACCAGGTGTTGGCCTGTCAAGGCAACTTGGGGCAGTTTCAGGGTGTGTGACAAATTCAAACGTGCATTTTTTTAAAACAAATTATTGTTTCGATGCAACATTTCATGGAACTGATTTGTCAGTTTTTGTTGGAACATTTTGTATTTCCCCCATCGTTCGCAGAACCGTGTGCACTGCCAAAACTTTTGTATCAAAACAAAGAAACATGTACTTGATCCAGTTGAGAAAAACACGTTTCAAAATCGAACAAACATAACATACTGTAATTATGCAAATGTCGTTGCATGCGACATGAACAGATGCGCAACCCAATCAGCAACCGAAGTAAACATCCCTTGACGGGCCATCCTTTCAGGGTACTGTAAGTAGTTTTGTGACAGGAAACTCTCATCCCTTTGGCGCGGAGGCCAAACCTGCACTACCAAAAAAACCGTTTTGCGCTGCACGAAAAATGAAAGGCAACTAAGATAAACGGAAGTAAACCTGCTCCAGACAGCATGTTTTCCTTTTTTATCGTGTCATGTATTGTTTCTTCACTTGTGCTCTGGTTTGCTTGCTCGGTGTTTGTCAACATCCGTTCCATGCCCGCAAAGTCATATCCCTCGGTGGAGGATTTCATTTGCCATCGTCGGGAACATTGTTTCAGCCGCATAGTCCACTATCCGACCGGTGCACATTGACACTGCTCTTTTGTGAATACAATTTCCCACTCAGTCTTTGAGTGTTGGTAAAACCACGTCGGAACAAAATTTTGGAACTACCATTTTTAAATTAACAGCAAGGTCTGCACAGCGCAAAAAATCACTTTCGGTATGCAAATTTTGATTCCATCCCAAAGTCAGATGTCCCATGAGTCCCATTGTTCTCTTCATCGTAAACAAAAGTCTCTTCATCGTAAACAAATTTTGATTTTTGTCCGGAATTGGTTGTGATAATCCGCTCGGATTCAACAAACGGGAAATCATTCATCGGGCCTCCAGCTACATGCGGCACTTCTTATGCTTGATTGAAATTTGTTGTGTTCAGTGGGGCTAGAGCA